TTAAGACTCAGTTACAGGCAAAAGCTGATGAATGAGCGTTTCTGCCCCACATCTCCTAGGTCAGTGTGTCAAGAACAAGCTCCCCGTGGTTCCTCACTCCTCCTTACTTCCTTTCAAGCTCCCACGTTTCTGTTCCTATTTTACAGAAGTTGGAAAGACCCAAAGAGCAAAAATCTGAACCTGAAAATAAAAGTAATTTATGTCATTTTCTTTTTTTTTTTTGTAGAGACCACCCAAATGGAAACAGCGCAGGGTAAAAAAAACAGGTTTAGACTTCGTAGTTCCTTTTAACAGTTGATTAAAGAGACCCAGAATGAATTATTTTATATAAATACAGCTTACTAGAATGTTTTGAATATTTATATGGTAAATATAAAGAGGATTTTTCAATATCATATTGTATGCTGAGGACCATCTTTTCTCTCTGTTTCTCCAACGTCTAGCAGGGGCGATCAGGACAAGGGAGATGGAGGGAGCAACCCCAATCAGCGCCTCTGCGAGGGGGCCAGGCTTGGTCCCTCAGAGAAACGACTTCAGCCCCTTCCAGCAGACGATCCCTCCTCCCACGCAGGGATCTTTGTGCAGACCTGGGTGGGTGCCTGAGGAGGAGCAGCGCGCCCCAAGGACACCTTGTGCCACTGCCGCTCGCAGCCCCTTCGGATCAAATCCGTGGAGCTGAGTTGCCTGGAGCCAAGCGTCTGGCGGGACAAACACCATCGGGTCCCCGCCCTCTGCCAGCTGCCTCCCGCCTGCCAGAGAGGAGCCTGCGCCCCCAGAGTGGGATGCGCACTTGCGCACGTATTGTTGTTTTGTTGTTGTGGTTGTTTAAGGAACATGTGCAAGGAAGACCAAGTTTAGGAGTGAACTTACTTGTCTTCGGTGCTGCAGCGAGGGGACAAGTTCTCAGCGGTCCTTGCTCACCTCTGGTCCGCTCCTCCTGCGTCTGGCTCCTCTGGATACAGGCTGTTCTCTTTAGGCCAAGCTATAAGGGGTCGGACTGAGGAAACTGAAATCGAAAGGACACGCATTCCGTGGTTTTATTGGTTAGGGTTTTGTCTCTCTTTGGGGGGAGGCAATTTAGCTTTTTTTGTTGTTGTTGCTTTAATTTTTTGCTTGCACTATTTCATTTCACTCTCTCTCTCTCTCTCTCTCTCTCTCTCTCTCTCTCTCTCTCTCTCTCTCTCTCTCTCTCTCTCTCTCTCATTTTAAGTACTCTTGTTATTAACATAAGGTCTTTTTCATTAACAATAAGTGTGTGTTTAAATTCCTAATTTTACAGTCCAGAGATAATCGCTATTATTTGTAGCATATTCTTCCGTCTATTTTTGTGGTGGATCTATGCAGAATTATAAGGGTCCTGAGTTTATATATTTTGAACGTTTGCATTAAATAAGGTAATATAATAATAGAAATTCAAAAGTGACTCTTTATTCAAAAGAGCAAACAAATCATAACCATCGACACATTTGAAAAAGCTCACAAATATTTTTTGTCCGCTTACTGGTTCTATATTCTATTAAGATTCGTCCAGCATATTTGAATTTTAGTATGAGCAATAATTCAGAAATAAAATATATGCAATTTAAAGGTATTTTATTGTATTAAAATATAGAACAAAAATTGTGTTATCAAATTAGTCTTTTGCTACATTTGTTACCTTCTGGATGGAAATAGATGGGCGCTGTTATTGAAACAATTTGGGTTTGTTTCATTGCCTATTTTTTGCTAGAATATTCTGCGATGGTTTCAAACACATTAAAAATGTTAATTCCACTTTCACCAGTATGTTTCTATAATTCAGGCTCTTTGACAATGCGGTAAAAATTGAATACCAACAGCCAGATTTAGATACACATTTTTATAACGTTATCAAAAATAGATTACTAAAATGACACATTTTGGGCCGGCTGAGTGGCTCAGTTGGCTAAGAGCTCGCTCAAAAGTTTGAGCTCTGAGCAACAGCAGTTCCAGTCCAGCCCGAGTTAGCTACCGTTGAGCTGCCAACAGGTGGCAGCATGGCTCAGCTAAAAATAATAATAAATTAAAAATAAATAAATAAATAAAATGACACATTTTTTCCAAGAAAGCTGTTATATTGAATACAATATCAGAAAATACATTGAGAGTTGAAATCCCTTCATTTCCTTTACTATGCCATGAAATCTACCAATCATATTTGTATTAGAATGCTTATCTTTTAAAATGAGTTTATAGCCTCGACTTCCTATTTTCAGAGTTAAAATATATTCTAATTGTGTGATATTAGTTGGTCATTTTTTATTAATTGTCTTTCCTTGGTGTTCTTTAAATTGGGCAATGCTCTTGTTTTCCTGCAACACTTGGTGGTACATTTTACTGGTACATGTAATACAATTTTGAAGCCCATTGCCTTTGCGTATTCAAAGATGAACAAAGCAAGTTTCTCACCTTTGGACAATCTATACATTGTCGGTGGCAAATATTATAAAATACAGCAAGAAGTGATGGGTGTTTAAATGATGTTACAAATAAAGTTCTTAGTTTCTACAAATGTAGTAGCTAATCATATTAGAAAGAGTTATAGATGGCTTCACAGAGGAGGTCCCATTTCTGTTGGATAGTTAAGATTGACTTACTTTTGAAGTAAGAGTGATAGGAGAAAAGATCTTTTAAAGCAAAGGAATGGAATGGAAAATGTACAGAAGTAGGGGCTACATCCTAGGAGTGAGCCAGGTCCAATGCAGCCAGTGTAGCAGGCTCACTGAGAATAAAGCAGGAAGATCAACTGAGACCTGGATCATGGACTATGTTCCACATTCAGGTAAAGACTTAGAAGATTACTAGGCATGCTCAGAGCCATGTTTGAATCTATTTCTGTGGTGGCAGAANGTTCACTGACAGCTGCTCATTGTTGTTTTCCACCAGACAAATGGGGGCCATCATGATGGGTCCAGATGCCATGGCAAGCAACCTGCCAACCTAGAAGTGCCCCCTAGTAGAAATAAGATTGCAAGTTTATTCTCTGACTCAGTTATCCAAAGCACCCATCATCTTATGATGCTGTTTCCTGCTTTGTTTCTGGCACAGTATGTATAGGCGAAGCCCAGCAATGAAAAATTTATGTATTTTTGATTCTACTCTTACAATGAATGTCTATGAGAGCCAAAGGGCTCCCAATGCTGTGAGGAACTCAGATTAGACGTTGCCACCACAGCACACTCACATCGTATAATGAACACAGTAGAGTGGCTCTATCCCATGCGGGGGTCATTATCACTGTGAAGCAAAGTCATCACCTCATCCCAGTCCTCTCCCAAGTCCTAAGGCCTAACCAGCTATAAATCAGGCAGTGAGACTGATGATGAGGGAGAACCTAGGTCTAGAATGACCACAGGAACACAAGCCATAAATTGTTAAGCCACAGATTTCATACATCTTTTCTGTCTCATGGTCTTATCTGTTGAGAACAGCTATAGAATGTAACAAGTGTTCATCAGAACTTGAGTGTTTAAATTGCTAATTTGGTTTGATGTATGACAGACCAATGAAATGCAATATCTATAGAACCATTTATGATATTCAAGGGACAGAAGGAGTTGTAAGTTCCAGAAGGGAAACAGTTTTTCATTTGCCTCCTTTTTTAGAAGTCATCAAAATCCTTTGGCCACAAAATGTAAGAACCATCCTGTGTGAAGAAAAATCGAGTAACCAGGAGATTGGTTTGTTTTTCAAAATAGAAATGTACATCAATAACAAAAAATGGATGTCTATTTAAGTCAACAACAACAACAACAAACAATATATATATATGTATATATATATAAAATTCAGTGAAGAATAACAAGAAGGCCTCTCAATTTCTGCACCTCCCCATGTAAGTGTTCAAAAGTATCTATGTTGCCACCTTTAGCATATGACATACTACATATAGAAAACCTTAAAGATGCCACAAAAAAAGAACTATTAGCATTAAGAAATGAATTCAGTAAAGTAGCAGGAGGCAAAATTGATATTCAGAAATCAGTTGCATCTTTGTATACCAATATCAAACTATCAGAAACAGAAATTAAGAAAACAATCCCATTTACAATTGCATCAGAAAGAATAAAATGCTTAGGAGCCAGCAGAGTGGCTCAGTTGGATAAGAGCTCGCTCAGCAGTGTGAGCTCTGAGTAACAGGGTCACCGGTTCAATTCCTTGCTCGAGCTAAGCTGCCGCTGAGCTGCCAACAGGTGGCAGGATGACTCAGCTAAAATGAAACAAAATAAAATGAAATAAATAAAAGAATAAAATACCTAGGAAGAAATTTAACCAAGGAAATAAAAGACCTGTACTCTGAAAACTATAAGATATTGATGACAGAAATTGAAGTACATACAAATAAATGGTAGGATATACAGTATTCATGGATTGGGAGAATTAATATCATTATAATGTCTATATGGCCAAAGCAACATATTCAATGCAATCCCTATCAAAATATCAATGGGGTTTTTACCAAGCTAGAACAACTATTCCTAAAATTTATGTGGAACCACAAAAGACCATGAATTACGAAAGCAATCTTAAGAAGAACAGTTGGAGGTATCATGCTATTTGATTTCAAACTATGCTACGAGGCTATGGTAATCAAAATAGAATGGTATCAGCACAAGAACAGATACATAGATGAATGGAACAGAATAGAGAGCCCAGAAATAGGGCCAATTAATCTATAACAAAGGAAGCAAGAATATAGAGTGGAATAAAGAAAGTCTTTTCAATAAATGTTGTTGGGAAAACTGGACAGATGAGTAAAAAATATGAAACTATAAACCTTTCTTATACCATATACAAAAGTGGACTCAAAATGTCAGTCCTGAAACCATAAAACTGCTAGAAGAAAACATAGGCAATAGACTCTTCAACATTGATCTTAGCAAGATTTTGGGGGTATTTCTCTTAGGGCAAAAACAGCAAAAGCCAAAATAAACACATGAGATTACAGCAAACTAAAAAGCTTTACACCACAAAGAAAACCATGAACAAAAGAAAGGCAGCCCATTACATGAGAGGAGGTATCTGATAAGGGGCTAACTTCAAAATATATAAAGAACTCACACAACTCAAAAAAAAAAAAAAAATCTGATAGAAAAATGGGAAGAGAACCCAAAGAGACAGTTTCCCAAGTAGCCAACAGACACATGAAAAAATGTTCAACATCACTAATCATTAGGGAAATGCATATCAAAAGCACAATGTGATATCACCTCACACCTGTCAGAGTGAATATTATAAAAAACTCAAAAAAGAATAAATGTTGGCAAGCATGTGGAGAAGAAGAAAGCCTTGTGCACCACTGGTGTGATTGTAAACTGGTGGAAGCCACTATGAAAAACAGTATGGAGAGGCCTCAAAAAATTTAAAATAAAACTACCATATGACCCAGCGATTCTACTTCTGGGTATATATCTGAAGAAGTNAGACTGAAGAACAAAACGACAGCAACTTGTCTGTTCCCCTTCCCCCAATTCCCCAGCGCTGTTCCCATCCCCCCAATTCCCCAATAAAAAAAAATAAAAAAGAGCATTGCAGCTCCCCAATAAAAAAAAATAAAAAAGAGCATTGCAGCATTGCTCCCATTGTGGGAGCTTTGTGATGGACTATCTCAGACCCATAGTACTACAGGAAGTAAGTCTTTGACTAAGATCCTTGTTACCCCACTCCCTTGCCTTAGAATTAGTCCTGCAGTTGGTGAGAGGCCCAAGAAATGCTACTTTAATAGAGGTTTAAATAATTTACATGAAGAGGAAACCTCAAAACAGATTAAAAGTATTTAAATAAGTTACATTATTTTTAATAAATTCAAAATCCTGGGATTTTATTACAAATGATTTCTAATGTTAACTAGACTTTTTTTCCTAGTTGTAATCACCATTGTAATTCTAGGATGCCTGTGAAACTACACTGTGCTGGATTATTAAATAAATAAGTAAATATAAATGTACCTTGGTTATTATTAGGCATTGAAATACACACAATGAAAGACTAGGCTTTCAGAATTATACAAAATGTAACCAATGGAACTTGCTTGGTGGGTTGGCAGTGTAAATAAATTACTTTGCTCACAAGCTGGACTAAGGTTACATCACTAAAGGAAG